GCGCTGGCTGTGCGTACTCGCTTGGCGTTTGCGGGTCAAAATTTGTTTGCGTTTCACCGTGTGGCGGCGTCGACCTGGCTCGGGCGGCCGCTCATGTTTCTTCGCGGCGGCTGCGCGCTGCTGCTGCTTGCAACTGCCCCCGTGACACTGACACAAACCAATGGCGTCTCGGTGCTTGTGAGCTCGGGACGTCCGTTCTACGAAGCGTTCGTACTCGCAGGCGAAGCCAACTGGATCACGTACGTCATGTACGAGTGCCAGCTCGTGTTCCACCCGGATGGCTCGATGGGCGCGGCAGCCGTCATCTGGTGCATCTACAGTCTTCTGGACGTGCTGGCACCGGTCACCGTGACTACCACACTAGAGCGCAACTGCTCGAGCACCGACTACATCTACACCCTAAAGTGCACACACGGCGCCATCTCCATCGGTAGCTTACAGCGTCTCTACGTGCTTCTCGGGATCCAAGCTGCCGGTCTCCTTATTACTGTGTTTTGGCAACACCACCGCACACGAATCGACAATCGACGCCCAATTACCGCTCTCTTCACCGGCGTCGCGAGCGCACTGCTTCATCACGAGCTCGACGACATTGGCTACATCCTCACAGGACTGATCCCACTGCAGCCAGATCGCATCTTCTTTGACGTCAAGCTGTGGGTCATCGTACGTGTGACCCAAGAACCTGTAGCGCCGGCCACCGTTGCGGCCGACCCACTGCGATTTCCAGCATCACCGTGGCATGCACGGATTAGCGCTGTCGCTGGCTTTCTTTACGTTGTGGCGGCTGTCAGTAGCAGCTACTCGTACTTGCAGATCGCCAAGCGCACGCTTGTCAACGACCTCATCTGGCCCGGCTTCAGCCTCTCGAGCACTCATGTCTTCTTGTCGAACTGCCTCTGGGGTCGTATCGCTATGAACCAAACAGACGGAGACTTTGCGCTCACTGATCCGTCCATCAACGCGGTTGGCTCGACAGTTGCGTTAACCACGAGCTCCCCGACCCACTTTGGTGCCCGCATGCAATACTCGACGCTGACGACGCTACTCGATGCTGTGCACGGTCTACGAGCTACTGATGCCTGCGACACACCCTGGATCTTTACACCCTACTGCTACCTCGATTTTGGTGGCGTCTGGGACTTGGCTGCCACCGCCACGCGCCAAGCGCGCTGTCGTCGCATGATGGCGACCAACGCTGCCGTGTACCTCGAGTCGCTGCTTCGTAACGTCAAGTGGGACGACTGGGTCACTTGCTGGGGTCCTTCGTTCGACTCTGCTTTTGGCATGCATCTCGCAACGACGCGCCAAGGACAAGCCTTTCTAGCCTCAGTGAGCCAGCCACGCCTCTCGATTGCAGACGAAGTTAGCTACTGGCAGCGCCACGGACTCGAATCGTACGAGCTGCAGTGGCAAAACTTCAAAGTCATCGGACTCGACAACACCTACAGCATTGTCAATGCGCTCGGCCTCTCGTATCCGTTTACGCTTCAGCGGAGCCAGGGCTACTTTCGTCGTGAGTTTCAGACGACCTACAAGCTCTACTGGTCGCTCGCCAACGATCTGGCCAACCTGCGAAACCAAACGAGCTTGTTGCGAGCGTCCCCCGCCTTTGCATATGCCAATGCGTCGTTGGAAGACGTCTACTTGGCGAACGCCACCTTTCTGACGGCGCCACTACCAGCAGGATATGCAGTCGTTCGTGCAGCGCTAGGTCCGTTTGGTGCGATCGATGCCACGTACGTCGAAGTACCGAGGGTCGTCCGCGCTGTTGCTCGGGACATCATGTCAGCCGTCGCAACCCATCGTGCGAGGTCATTGAAGTTGCAGGCTGCCTACGCGACACTGCAAGTGAACTTTCTCGATTTGCTCGTTCCAGCACCGTGGTTGAAGCTTGGCTTTAGCACCGTCGGGGGCTCGCTTCTCTGTTCGGACCTGATGATGGCGAGTTCGAGCCCGATCTCGGTGGGTCTTTTGCGCCTTTTCCTCTTTGAGAGCAAGTGCACGGGCGGCGTGCTCTCGTCGACACTCTCGTCGACGCCGGATGGTTGGGTGTTTGCAGCGCTTTTCTCCAACACGAGCGCTTCGGAGCACTGCGTGCAAGTGCCCAATGCAGCCGCCCAGTGCCGAGCTACTTTTGCCGCCGTCACACAATGGACGGCGACGATGGCGCCTCTCAACATAGCGTCGCTGTCGACAGCCATGGACGCGCTTGTGGCGCTCAACATCTCCCTCATGCAGTACGGAACTCTGCACTCCACGGCCCCCCTCGCGCTCTTCACGACTCCGATTTTCGACGAGCTTTTTGCCTTTTTTGGCTCAATGTTTGTGCTCGACTGGCTGCGCGGCCAGCGGGATGTCGTGCGGTTCACAGGCGACCACGGATCGCTCACGCTTCTCTCGGACCTCATCGTCCGAACGATCGAGCCGGTTGAAGCTGCGGAGCTTTCGTCGATGTTTGCCCTCTACGCCCACGCCACCGTCCAGTACATTACCTTTGTCATGGCAGGGCTGGCCGCCGTTGCAGGCTTGTACATTGTTGTTAGCCGTGGCCGCGTCGAAGGGCTCAACATGCTCGAGCTCAGTCGCGTCGGTGGCATCGTCTGGGTCGGTCGTCCGCTCTTGGTCGTCCGTAGCGTCTCTGCGCTCTGTCTCTTGTCGACGGCGACCACACTGTCGCTCCACTATCCAAGTCCGTACCTCGTATCGTTTGCGACCGAGGCTTCATCGGCGCTCACAACGTGCTTGGCAGCGAGCGAGGTCACGTGGCTCGTTGGCATTCTCAACGACATCTGTCTCGCCATCACACGCGAGCACTCGACGCGCTACACGACCATCAACAGTCTGCTCGTCTGGTCGATTGCAGCTTGCCTCACATCCCTTCAGCCTGTTGAGCACCGGGCGACTATGGACTTTCGCTGCGTCTCTACGGCGCTCGATTTCCAAGTCGACTGCTCAACAGGCTCCATCGCGATCGGGTTTCTCGATCGCGTTTTGCTCTTAATCGCGGTGATCGTCGCCTGCAACGGCGTCTGCTACGGTCTTGTGCGAGCCTTGTGGCCAGTCTCGGCATCCCTACGCCGCAGCCAGTCGCTCCTGCTCACGGCGGGCGCCAAGTACCTCTTCACGCACGACGGGTGGCTGCTTGGCGATGTCTACTACATGGATCGCGCGTCGGCGCTGCTGAGCGGTCTCCTGACGGTCTCGGTGCGCGGCTCTCTCGTGCTCTTTGACGTCAAGACCTGGCGAATGCAGCCAGTGCACTCGAAGAAGCCGACCACAGATGACATCCTCCCTCCTCGGTTTGAGACCGCGGTACCGCTTCCCGACACGCCGATTGCTCACTTTGTCTAAGTCGAGATGGATAAGAAAATAGCCTCGTTCATATCGGAAGAGGTTTGCTAGCATGACATAAGTCTGGCCTAAATCTGCAGCGCGGGAAGGAACCTGAATCATCAAGAGCGCGCCATGAGCTCCATGTTGGTCGAGAGAGACTCTGTCTTCACTTGGCCAGTGGAACTTCCACAGCAAACAAATGAGACGACCTGCTCCACTGCACCTCGTGATCGTCCCTTGGCGAGACAACACCCGGTCGATTCGGATGCGCGGCCTGAACACCAAGACGAATATGGAGTACACTCGTTGGTTAACTTATACAATAGAGCCGCTTACGCCTTGAGCTCGGTGCGGGCGACGATGCCGTGCGTCATGTCTTGGATTTCACGCAAAAGCGAGAAGATCTGCGGCACCGCCGACCCGCTCTCGTTCTCGAGCGGCAAGAGGTGCGTCGCCTTCATGACGCGGAACCGCGTCGGCAAGAACGCGGTCGGCTTCCACCGGATCGCAATCACGTCCTTGTTGGCAAACACAAGGCCAAAGTCGGCGAGGCGGGCGCGGAGCTTCGAGACAACACCCGAGAGCGGGTCCAGCCCTAGGTACAGCGACGACGCGTCCGGACGCATGTTCTTGTAGTACGCCATCCCAAACGGCCCCTTGCTGCTCAGATGGAGCTTCGTCGACGGCAGCGCGTCCGTGTCGAGGTGCAAGACGACGTCATAGTCCATGACGTGGGCAAAGCAGCTCTGCCACGCGTGCGGTGCGCCGCCCGTCTTGAGCCAGTGCAGCCACGACACGGTGGTCGCCCGCGCCAGCGACACGAGACGGTGCACCATCGCGCGCTCGTCGGCGCCGTGGACGCTGGCGCGGCTCCAGCTCGAGAGCGTGTCCATCGCTTCGTACGACGCCGCGACAAAGAGGCCGGGGTGCGTGCTCGGCTGCGTCGCTGACGCGTCAAAGCGCTTCTGCACCTCGCGGTGGTCCTTCTCCGTCCAGATGTCTTGCAGATCGACGATGAGCGCTTCTTCGGCCCACGGGTGCGACGCCAGCAGCGTCAACAAGCGCGTAAAGCCCGAGAGGATCGACATCGGCGGCGCCTCCTTCGAGAGGAAGAGCGATGCAACAAGGAGCTCGATCGTCTCGAGGCGGAGGAGCGACCCGCAGAGCTGCGACTCAAGCCACGTCGACACAAAGCGAACGGTCGGCGCAAAGCTCGGGTGGCGGCTTTGGAGTGCGTGCAGCTGCATCGCGTGCGGGACCGCGTACTGGCGCGCGGCAAAGTCGGCGCAGAGCGACCGGTCGCGCTCCGTGTGCAAGAGCAGGCGAAAGACGTAGCCATCGACGGCGACGTCGACGCCGGTTGCAAACACGTGGCACGTGTACGCGCGCGACTTGTGCTCGTCGAGCGCGTGCGCAAGATGCACGTAGAACCCGAGCTTGGCCTTCTCGAGCGCGTCCGCGGTCGTCGGCCAGCTCGACGACGACTCAAACTGGAGCACGACCAGGATCGGGTCAACGACCGTCGAAATGTACTTGGACGCCACCGAAATCGGGGTTTTGGACGCGAGCGGGTGCGGCAGCGGCGGCGACGGGCTCGTATAGCGATACGCTGGCGCGACGGGCTGCACGTCCTTGACCTTGAGCGGGAGCACATCGTCGAGCGACCGGAGCGTCGCGCCGAGGGCGTTCCACGTCTTGTGCAGCGCCGGCACGTGCTTGGCAAACGCGGCAGCGTCCGTATCCGCCTCGAGCAGCGTCGCGTTCGACGACGTGATGTCGCCAATGCTCGGGACGTGCGCCATCACAATGTACGCGACGATCGCACACAGGATCTCGTGGGGCTTGACGTCGTCCCACACGACCGCCTCGACGATCGCGCCGTCCTTGAAGCGACGCAGCTCCGCCTTGGTCTTCCAGAACGCGCGGAACTCGGCCGCCGCGGTCGTGTCGTCGGCATCCGGACCCTTGTCCACAATACGCGTCGCGTGCTCGGGCACGATCGAGAGCCCGAGCGTCATGGACGTCGGCAGCGGGCGGCGGCTCGAGAGCGTCCACGTCGACGCCGACGCAATCAGTGCTCGCACGCGCGCGACACGGTCGCCAAGCGCCTTGGTCGCCAGCGCCGCCACGTACGCGGGCCACGCGACGTCGAGGTCGACTTCGAGCGTCGGCACGGCGTTGGCCTTGGCCTTGGGCAGCGGCACGTGGATGTACTCGTCGTAGCGCGCATAGACCGAGTGCTGGAGGATAAAGACGCGCTGAAAGTCAAGCAGCGTGCCCTGCGAGAGCCAGCGGTACGACTGCTGCGCGAGCCACTGCATCTCGACAAAGCCGGACGCCGAAAGCGACGCAAAGAGGTTGAGCCGGTTCGACGCGTCAAGCAACACGACGTCGAACGCGTCCGAGAACACTTGGAGCGCAGCGTCGGTCGGGACGACATCGCCGTCCGATGGAAAGACGAGGGCCGTGCTCGTATCGTACGAGGCCAGAAACTGGAGCCAGATCTTGAACATGGCATCGCTGCTCGTTGTGAGATGGATCTTCTTCGATTGCACGAGGTAGAGGAGCAGCATGGACGCCTGGAAGCCGTTCATGTCGAGCGACCGCTGGCGCAGCCACACTTTGGCGAGCATGCACGTCTCGACAAACGCCGGCGACTGCGACGCGATGGCGTGGAGCGCCTTGAGGTGGCTCAGCATCCGCATGTCTTCGAGGATCGCATTGTTGTAGCGCGGCGTGGGCGTCGCCACGTCGCTGCGGATGTTGCTTCGCCCAGGATTGAGCTTGGCGACGCTAAAGCAGTTCTCGGGAAGGACCGGGTACACGTGGAGCGACACCGAATGGCCCTTGATCTTCTTCGCCAGCGATGCGACGAGCACGGGCTTGTTGGCGTCACCGTGGAAACTCGTGACGCGGATGGACGCGACAACGTCGGCGCCATCGACCTGGAGACTCTGGAGCGCACCGGCAAGCACGCCGAGGTACAAGTTGCGCTTGTCGTGGTACCGGTAGTTGAGAAAGTCCTTGGGCACAAAGCAGGACGATGGCATCGTCACGGCCAAGTCGATGGTCAAGCTACTCGCCTTCTTGATGCCATGGCGCAGCGTGTGCGAGCCGAGCACATCGAGACGCGCGGGCGCCGCGAATGGCAGCGCGACCTCCTTGAGGAGGTTGCGCGTGGGCAGGCCCGGCATGGCCAAGCACGACGACGTGACCTGCTGCTCGGGCAGCGCGTCCAAGCACTGCTTGATGGCCACGAGGATCGGGTTGACGCCATTGACCTTGTCGTAGGCGACGCGGACCTCGTCGAGCAGCTGCGTCGTCTGCAGCCGGAGGAAGTTGGTCGTGTACACGGAGGACGCGTCCGCAGCGTTGAGCTGCAGCATCTCGGCCGTCGTCGGCGGCGCGTAGAGGCTCATGCTGGGGGCGGTGGCGAATATGAAGATGGAACGAGACCAACCAAGTTGATCCAAGGGGCACCAACAATTGTTCACGGCGCCACTTTTTGGCCAATCAGCATCGTGTGTTTGGAAGTACCAACGTTTGATTGGTCGACAGCATTTATTTTCGCATTGTTGCAGTTGCATTTGATACCATACAACGGTGGTATGTTTTAAATAAAGGAGCACGAGGATGAAACAGTGTTTTCAAAAGACGCTGTCTGAAAACAGTGTTTCCTAGAAGGACGACATCAAGTCGGCTGCACAACAGCCTCCTTGTGCAAGCAATGTCGGTCCACAGAGGGCAATCCAACAAAATATAGTGTAGTCCTTCGTAATGGTGGCCACTCGGGCTTACTAGTATACTTGAAGAAACTACTTGACATCAGGGACGTTGTCCGAACTGGCGTCTCGTCCGAGAGCTTGCTTATCAGCTCGGTCCACGATGGCGCGGCACAATAGCAAGACGACGTCGGTATGGCTTCGTGTGGCGGCGTGTACCATCGGCCCGCGCTACGTCGAATTGAGTCGCACGCGGTGCTGAGACGAAGCCCTACCGCCGTGCACTCAATGGTGGCGTTGGCCGCGAGCAAGATCGCAACGACGTCAGCGTGGCCGGCTGCGGCAGCCTCGACCAGCGGAGTGATGCCTTGCTATAGAACCGAAAATATGCCATGTGGTCCTCCTATATTGCCGCAGGACGCCACGTACGTTGTCGCCTTGGTGGACGTTGGCCCCAGCAGCCAGAAGGCTCGTGACGACGCGGGTGTGGCCACCTGCCGCCGCCGCAAACAGCGGAGTTTCGCCCCGCTAGAAATACGCGCGTGGGTGTGATGGCGCCGTGCATGTACAAGCGTACGTCGTTGCAGCGGTGCACATTGACGTTGGCGAGGAGGAGCCGGTCGACGACATCCGCGTGGCCGTGGCAGGCTGCTGTCCACAGTGGCGTGGTGAGCGTCTAACGTTATAGAACAGGAGATGAGACACTGCCGATAGTAGAAACCGCATACGGAGTCGCGGCCGTTGACTAGCGCGCCCTTGGCGAGCAAGAGGTTGACCGCGTCGAGGTCGCCCTTGTGGGCGGCTTGAAACAGCGCACCGCCCTTGGTCTACAACGGAATGATTCGCATCGCTAGCGAGGAGGCAGAACGGTACTTTGGTCTCGAGGTTGACGTTGGGGTTGGCGTCCAGCAGAAGCGGCAGCAGCCACGTGTGCTTGCTCACGACAGCGAGCCCGAGCAGCGGCACTTCGCACTACGCACCCAACCAGTGTATTCGGTCAGTTGGGCGATACCATGGACGATACTAACGTTACCAAAATGGTGTCGACGGTGGCACCCGCGGCGAGAAGCCGCCGGAAAATGGCCTCGGGGGCCTCTCGCTCGACCGCTACGGCGAGTGGGGACGGGACGTTCTACACCCAGCAACATTGTGTCGGGCACGAAACTGCGGATTCGCTGGATACCGAGCCGCCATAGTTGACATTGGCGCCGGCCGCTAAGAGGCAGTCGAGAACGTCCTCGCGTCGGCTCCACGTTGCATTGTACAACGCCGAGTAGCCCTACAAACGATAGAAACCATTGGGTCTAGTAGCAAGGGGCACCAACCCATTTGGTTGCATTTGGGCTCACGCCTTGCGCCAGCAGGGCCTGCACTTGAGCGAGGTCGCCGTCCGTCGCCGCTTGCGCCAGCTCCGCTTCAAACTAGTTTTGGACAAGCATTCGGTCTCGTGTTGATGCGGACTCAATTTACCGCGCTTTGAGTTTGCCCCATGCCCGTAGAATTGAGAAATGATGCACATCGGGCGGCCGCTCTTGGCTCTTGCCCCCCCCCTCTTTTTTTTTGCAGGGCCAGGTCCTAGACAAATGTCCCACCGTCGTCTGCGCTTATTCTCGCACAGAAATTCGGCGGCAGAGGGTGGTCGTGTTTCATGCCCCCTGGTGAGGGCCCCATTAAATGCAAAAACCGGCACCCGACAACCCTGCCGGACAACTCATCTATTCACTTGCACATCCATCAGTCCAAGATGGTCACACCGAACGACGCGCGAGCGCGCACCTTGCCGCTGCCCGACGGTGCAACGAGCTGCCACTGCCGATACCTTGACGCCTCGCGTAGATGAAGAGCTCGTGCCGTCGCCCGGCCTCCGCTTTGACGCCTTTGCCATCACGAACGCCAGCCAATCGACGACCTTTTTCAAGGTACGCTACGTCATCCTTGGCTACTACTTGAGCTAGGATACTGGCCTAGACTGGCTGTGCGGTGTGTCCGGACGCCTCGCTGTCGTTGCACGCGACCCCGGGGCGCATTCGGTGTACGCTGCCAAACGGGTTTTGGACGAGCTTGGACGTGACGACGATCCTCGACTTTACGAGCGATGTGGCGCTAAGCAATCTGCACCTGGTGCAGTGCATGTACCTCGGTGACCGCGTCCAAGTCGAGTCGCTTGCGTTCGGTCCGGTGCAAGCCAATGTCGCGACCTCCTGGACGAGGAAGCGCATGAACCCCTTCTACTTTGCGACGCCGAGCGCAATGACGTCGCCGGCACGTAGCGACGTCTTTTACTTCAACGAAAAGAACGCGCTGGTCGGCCACCACCGCCTCTTGCTCGGGTCAGTGCTCACGCCCGACAACCATTACAAGAACCAGCTCGTCGACCACGTGGTCCTCCGTGAGCGCGCGAGCATCCGCACCACGTTGCACAAGGTTGTGATCGTCCCGTCGCTCTACAAGGTTCGCAAAGTCGCTCTTGTGCGTCTTCCGATCTCGGCTAGTATAACCGCGATGTGCTTTTGGACGCGATTGACGATGGTGCTGACGACATTGTTCGGCTCCTTGTCGACCACGGCGCCGACATCAAAGGGGTACGTCGACTATCCAACAGTAGTTGTACAAGTGTGCTGCGTAGGTGTGCAGTGACCGGCTCCTCGCCCGGGCCCTCGATCAGAGCGACGTCGAGACGGCGATCTATGCGCTCAAGCATGGCGCGGACGTTCAGTCCCGAATCGAGGTGCGATTCCTACAGCAACATGTGGCTGTTACTCTTGTCGCCGTAGGGCAGCTCGCTCGTATGGTGCTGGCCGGCAACGACGCCATGCTCGAGGTGCTCGTGAATGCAGGCGCGTACCTCGGCGACCCGTGCGACCTCCACAAGTACATTCGCTGCGGCCGGCGCTGCCCGGTACCTCCCATTTGACGACGCGTGGTGCGTATTCGCGCACGGAATAGCCCACCGAGGCGCCCTTGGTCGCAGCGTACACGAGCAACCAACCACGCATGGCGCAGCTTCTCCTGGACCTCCACGCGCCGATCGACGTAGCGCAAAAAGCTGTGCGATCCCCTCGTGGTCATCGAAACTGTGCAATCGTGCGGTGTAGGCTCCCCGCAACTGCCTCCTGGCGCTCTGTCTACCGCACCTGACGGACGAGTGTGCGCGCCGGTGGCATATCCTGCAGCTCCTCGAGCGCGGCGCTGCCACCATGATGCACAAGCCCAACCAGGTAGGAGAACCCTAACCGCCCGTGTAGCGTCGATTTCCAATAGGACGGAATGACACCGTACGAGCTGGCGACGGCGATGGGCGCGACAACGATTCGCAAAAGCTTTGATCTCTACACCAAATCCTCAGCCGCAAAGGTAGCCGGGTGTTGTACGCTCACCAAGGTGGCTCACTCGCCTGAATAGCTGGCGGACGACGGACCAGTGGACGACAATTGCGCGTCCCCGGCGGGCAGCTCGGCGCTGAGTTACACGTACGACTCGGACGCGTCGGATGACGTCCTCGATCAGTAGCGACTGTGTCCATACTAAGCACCTCCTAACACAAGAGAAAATCGAAGTGTCGGCTCCATGGATCCCTGTACATAGGTTCATCTTCCATCGCCACCTAATTCGATTTAACATGAAGGTGGACGACAGGTCGAGCGAAGACTGCATTCCGTGTTTTAGTGGCCGACACTAGACGGCAGCGATGTGGTTAGGGTACATTGGCGACGCGTCATCGTCGTCATCGTCCAGTTCGATTTCGTCGAACCGGACGCGGCTACCGTCGTCCAAGGTTTCCGTTTGGTCAAAGTACGCGTCGTAGATGGGTCCGACGCTCACTGTCCGCCCCCCGCACGCCGTGTCATCCTACAGGAATGCGATCAAATAATCATGTTTCTCGCTGCAAATGCGGACCCGAAAGTATGCGTCGTAGATGGGCCCGAGGTCGAACCCGCCGTCAGCTCTGTCGGGCTGGGTTCCATCCATCGTGCTGCCATCACCCGCCTCGACGAGCTCGTGCTCGGTGCCGGCGTTGACCATGCTGTGGTTGGTGCAAGTCGTGTCGAGCTACAGCAATATCAGATCTGAGTCGCCCGATACGAATTTCCTGCGTACCGAGTCGGCGGTCGACTGCACAAAGTAGCCGTCGTAGACACTGCCCATCGCGAGCGCCTGCGCCGCGCCTTCGTCGGTCGTGACGACCATTGTGCCGTCGTCGCCTGCCTCGACGAGCCCGTGGTCGGCGTCGTTGAACGTCCCGTCGTCCACGTCATCGGGCGAGATGGCCTCGGCGGTGATCTGCCCCGTCGCGCGGATCTCATGCATCCACGCATCATTGTCGACGGTCTACACCAGGCGTTCGTCCACTTGATGCATTGATACAAGAGAAATACCGAGACGAGGGCCGCTTGGTGGTACTCGATCTGGTTGTTGGCGTCGTCGTTGGCTTCAAAATGCATGGTCATGTCCTTGGCGAGCGCCAAGTGATCGCCAATCGCATCGTACGTCGCTTCTTCGGCCATCGCGTCATCGGGCGGGAGGACACGCGAGTGCGCGTGGCCCAGAATCGAGAGCATGCGTCGGTCCTTGAGTGCCACAGCGAGGGCGACAAGCCCCGCTTCGTCCAACATCTAGAAGCTCTAAAGGTCACATGCTATCGAATGAAAGCGTGTATACCGGGAGGTTGGCACTCGACTGGTAGTGGACAAAGAGCTCGGCGATCGCATAGAGCTGGTGCTTGACCACAAAATGCATGGCCGAGACACCCATCTACAGGGCTTGATGCTCGGCGGTGCCACGAGAATGGCGTATACCTTGTTGAGGCGGTGGATGCTGGCCACCGCGCCGTGCTCCAAGAGCGCCAGCACGTGCGCCATGCGCTCGTCGCCATGGAGGGCCATGATGCAGTTGGCTAAGATGCTATGCTGCGGGTACTACTCTGCGATGAGATCCAGCCAAGGGTTGGTGTGCGTACAGCGCCGCGGTTGTCGTTGACGTCGGCGCCCTTGCGCAACAGCAGCGACGCAATCTCGGGCTGCCGCCACACGTAGGCACACTGCAGCGCGGTTGCATGGTCCTGGATCATCATATCGTTCTCTCTTAGAGCTCTGCCATGACATGACCACGTACGCAGTGCTGAACATCGCACGGGTCGGCCCGAAGCGCACACGCTGGACCGATCGCAGCGCCGGCGTCCAAGAGCAGCTCGACCATGCTCATGCTGCCGCCCATGATGGCGACATGCAGCGGAGTCAGCGCCGTCGTCTACGCCATTCATTCGCTTCCTCATTCGTAGCTGCTGGGAAACGTACGATGACGGCTCCATCGACGCTCGCGCCTTGCTTGAGGAAGAAGCGTGTCATCTCAAAGTCCTTCTTCTGCACCGCATTGTGCAGCACCGTGTGGTTCGCCTACGAACTCTTTAAGACGCCATGCCGACGAGCTCGTCTTCCACCAAGTCGACGCTGTTGATGTCGGCGCCATGGGCAAGCAGCAGCTGCAGCGTCGGACACGCGCGGTGGTTGGCCGCTGTGTGCAGCAGCTGCGTCGCCTCCTAACCAACTCGTCAGCAACCGGCAACAACGGTGCACGTACGTACCTGGACACAGGGACCGCGTCGGTTGAACGTCGCTTTGTGGAGTGCGCGGTGTACGTGGTCGAGCGACGCATTATCCTCAACACGCTGCAGCAAGATGGCGTTGGCGACCCGCGGCGAGACGAAGCGGAAGACCGTTCGGTGGTGGGCGAGAAACCGATCGTTGACAAAGTAAAAGATGTCGCTGCGGACCGGCTCGTCGCGCTGTTGAAAGCGGCCGCGGTCGATGCGCGCTTTAAATGGATTGGTCGGCCACGCAATGTCCCACGCCACGACGCCGTCGTCATCGACCTTGGTAGCGCCGAGGAAGCGCGCGTCGCGGACAAAGACGTCGTCCTTGGCGAAGTAGATGCGCTGGATCATGCGCAGCTTGCCCCACGGCTCGTCACCGACCGTTTGAATCTGCAGTCGGTAGACAAACGACGGCAGTGTCAGAAATGAACTCGGCAAGTCGAGCCGTAGCTCGCCCTTGGCGGCCTCCAGCACCGACGCCATGGACGAGCCGCACGTCATGCAGCCCACCTACAGGACCGTCAGGCATGCATATCGCTTAAGAGCGCATGGCACCGTACGTTGAAGAGCGGCGCCGTCTCGGTCGCCGGCGCGACGCAAAAGCCCGTGACAGCAAACGAAGCGTGCTGCCATGGCAGCGCTTCCTCTACGCCTAGCATCGTCGGTACATGGCATGCGAAGGACAGCGGTACCGAGGAAGGGGGCGTGGAGGAGCTGCGTCTCGGCCGCGTGGTCGACACCGCTGCTGGCGCGTCGGTGGAGGCGAGGGTTGGGGCGAGGGTTGGCGGCGGCAATGGGCATGGCAAATTTGAGTCTGGGACGGTCGCTACACTGAGAAAAAGACCGGCTGGTCGCGGCCGTTTTAATTTGAGCCAATGAAAATGGCTTGCTCGCGACGGCTCGACCAATCCCATCGCTGCAAAGATCGCCGCACGTGGTCCTCGGCCAAAAAGCGGTACATGGCGCAGAAACGCGGTCCTATTCGCGCGCATTTGACAAGAAGGGGGTACGTGGCAAGGCCGCTCTTGGCTACTGCGCTTCAAGGACGTCGTCCCGCGGAGAGCGGCTACGACCTGATCGACATGCTACTCGTTGGATGCACTCGGCTGCATGCCATGCACCCAAACGAGAAGAGATCTAGAAGCGCGCAACGGCTTCGATCAATGGCTGGTGGCCCGTTGGCGTCGCAAGCGTCGTCGATCGCAGAGACAAAGAGCCGAGCGTCGAGAAGGACCTACTTGAAGAAGTAGCAACGTTGCGCCATCTTTGTTGAAGCGGATTTGATTGCAGTTGATTGCCCAAGCCAGTTCGAGACTGTTCCACCTCGATTTCGCACCACAATCAAAGCTATAGCTCCGTGATCTTAGTTGCGTCTTAGTCTAGTTGGCGATGACCAACCAGAGGGTTCCCGCCCACAGAACCAATACCATGGCTCATCTCCGGTGGTAGCAAGAGCCACCAGACCCGAACGAGGATGTGGCGCTCTTATTCGGGGACGTCTCAGAGCCAATGCAGCATCGGACCTTGGGGACCGTGGCCGAGGCGGCAGTCTTGGCTGCTCACCAAGATTGCATGGACGTAGCGGATGGCGTGGAGCACTGCCGACTTGATGTCGGGCACCTAGACACCTGTCAATGTATGGACAGAAACACACGATACGATATGGATGACCTTGGCGTAGTGCGCCGCGATGGCCGACGCGAGCGTGCACCCGGTCCCTGCTAGCGTGAGTCTCCTTCTTACACCCGTGCACACGTGGTTACCGTGGGTGTTGGTCGTCGTGATGCGAGGCGACTCGAAGCAAAAGCATTCGGTGCCGTCGTAGAGGACGTCGACGACCTTGGCCGGGTCGTCGAGGTGCCCGCCCTTGACGAGCACGTAGCGCGATCGGCCAAGCCGCTGCAAGTCGGCAGCCGCGACCTTCATGTCGTCGACCGTTGAAATCGAACGGCCGTCGAGCTAGACGCCGTCAATCACACTGCGCATCGGCAACGCTCGCGTACCAGGAACGAGGCTTCGGGGATGTTGGGGGTAATGAGCATCGCCAGTGGGAAGAGCTCCTTGACGATGCTCGCATGCGCGTCGGCCTCGAGAAGCCTGCATTGTCACATGAGCGATGGCAAGTAGGATGGCCGTACGTGTGGCCGCTCGTCGACACCATGACCGGATCCACAATCAGCGGGATCGCGTCAAACTCCTTGACCGCGTCGACAACGCACTGCACGATCGCCGCCGAGGCCAGCATACCGGTCTACAGACCGCATGACATGTTGTGCGATGACGTCATCGTACCTTGATGACGTCGGCACCAATGTCCTCAAGCACACACCGAATTTGCGCGCGGAGGGTCGCGATCGGCACGGCGTGGATACTGAGCACCCCGTGAGTGTTTTGCACCTACGGTGTATCATAGCGTCGACGTCGCCGAGGACAGCGCACCGTGATCGCAGTGACGGCGCTCGTGGAGAAGACGCCGAGGGCTGTGCACGCCTTCACGTCGGCTTGGATCCCGGCCTACGTGCACCGTCAAATCGTTGGTGCGGACGGAGGACGTACACCGCCGCCGCTGTCCGAGCCTGCAATGCAGAGGACGCTTGGCACACGCGCGGCCGGCGCATGGATCGGCGCCGCATCGTCGCTAGCCACTGACGTCGACAGGACGAGCAGCTCGGTGCACGCGTCTCGTTCGTCAGCGCCGACGTCGGTTGCGGTAACCTGCAACGACGCGCCGTCCAAAATGCGTGTTAGCACCGCTGCCAAGAGCGAGGCCGACGGCAATGGTTCGATCGAAGACGTTGGTGACGCGAGCACCAGCGTCGTTGCGTCGCACTGCAGCACCGTCGGTCCTATTGCATTGGGAGATGAGACTCGTGGCAACTTCGAGGTGACGTACGGAGCATCTCGCGGGCGTTGGCGACCGGAAAGTACGCGTCAAAGAAGCTGCGCTCGAGCTGCATCGCGCGGTCGTAGAGCGCAAACAGACGGCGCTCGTCGACCTCGTCGCGCGTCGCGATCGTATCGAGAAGCGCTTCCATGACGTTGGCGCTGGCCTGTACACGAGTGTTCGCCGTGTAGCCGGATGCTATGATGTACCTCAAACTCGGCAGTCGCGTACGTCTCGATCCACTTGGCGTATGTGTTCACGCCCGGCGTGGCCGTGAGGTGGGTGCGGGCGCCGGCGAGCGCCTGGCCCAAGGCGGCGTAGAGCCGGGCGCAGGGCACCATGGCAGCGAGGATCTCGGCGACAGATGTCGCGGCCTTGGCCGTCGCACGAAGAAAGTCGACGTACGCCCGCGTGGCCGGGGTCGCCGAGGTGGCATCGACCACATGCGGCGGCACGCCCCACGACTACGTATGGACGGTGTTGGTGACCGTGTTGGATGAGGCTGCACGTACCTCCATGAAGGATGTATGCAGCTCGAGCTCCTCGTTGACGCCTTGCATGAGCTTGACGAGCGCAATTGCATCGGCTGGCGAGTCGGCCTTGGCGACTGCGACCGCAAATGCTTGGAGGAACCCGTGCAGGTAGAAGGCGTCTTGCTTGAGGAACTCTTGAAAGCTTGTGAGTGGAAGCGCGCCCGAAGCGACGCCCAGCAAGAAGGGATGGTACACGCAGCGGAAGCGCGTCGGCGACGCATCGGCCCACAGCCGGCGACTCAATGGCGTCCCGCTGACCATGGCTTGACACAAATGAGTCATCGCTGGGGCACTGTTTTAAACGTTTCAAACATATATGGTTTTATACATGAAATACAAATAAGTGGGTTTTGTATTTTACATCAAACAATAGGTGTATGAAACCGGAGCATGACGGTGAAATCATTGCGCATCGTCGAGCGCTGGTGCAAAAAACGCATTGCGTTATTTTCGATGCCATCCAATAACCGAATAAACGTGTTTAAACTCACTTCAACGTATAAAACCGAACGGTCGAAAGGCACGAGCGGACAAGGAGGGCACGACTAGCCGACGATGGCGACGAGGACCTTGGCGAGGGCCTCGAGGCTGTAGACGCCGGCCGCGAAGGCGTCGCGGGACGAGCACATGGCGGCGATGGCGGCGCTGCTGGGCGCAACGTGCACCGCCCAGAGATCCGTGGCCGGCGCCGGCGTCATCGTGCTCGACGGCTTTTGCTCGATGGAGATTGTGACGTCGCCGTTGCTCCAGCGCTCGACGATCTGGAAGAGCACTTTCTCAGGTCGACTCTGTTGCCATGGCTTGGGCTTGGTGATTGCTTTGCCTGCTGCTCGCGGGGCCTTGGACTTGTACGTTGCAGTGGTCGCTGCTGGCTTGGCACGGAACGTCAACTGAAAGTCCATCTTGGCGCTTGTACTCGCAATGACGCTGATGGTGCTGGCAAAGCCCGCTGTGTGCTTGCCGGTGGCTCCTGGCGTTGCGACCTTGAGCACCGGAAACGACGCCGACGATAGCTTTGGGATGTTGCTGCGCTTACTGAAGAGCGTCTTGTACGACGGCGCGTCGGCAAATTGACGGTACTGCAGCGCGTGGAGCGTCACCTGCGTGTGCACGTAGCCCTGCTCCATAGCCCACAAACGTACGGCATGGGCGCGCCCAGTATGCAGCATGTACCGGTTGAAGTAGTCTTGCGTCGTTGCGTGCAGTGAGGCCCACTCGGCAGTCGAGACCGTGGCGCAGCGGTGGCTCGACGAGACCATGAAGTTTTTTCCAAGGACGGCTCCGATGCGCACGTCGGTGGTCGTCTTTTGGAGGCGGGCAAAGAGCGTGTGCACATACGGCTGTGTCGCGCGGAGCTCGTTGGCAAAGGTGACCGCCTTGCCGCCGGCGCCAACGATGGCGGGCGCGTCGCACGAGCCGAGCTTTGTCGCTCTGCCGGTGCATGCGACCATGGTTGCTGTAAAGCAGCGAGCGGACGACGTCTTGCACGTCGACTGCAACGTGGACGTGTTGATGTGGTGAAGCCGGACCGCGCCGGGCAGCGACGGCCCGTCGTACTGATACACGTAGAGAGACACCCGCTGGGACCACGGCGTCGACAGCGCATGGGCAATCGCTTGCTTGATACTCGCTTTCGCGGCTTGGACGTCGAGCGCGCTGCCTTCACAGACGACGTACTGGGTTGCCCCTTGCTTGGCCACGTAGCAGACGTGCAATTGGAAGGTCTTCTCAATCTCCCGGAGCCGCCAGCCGCCTTTACCGACGATGAGGCCGGCGATGCTGCGCGGCAAGACGACGCACGACTGCGTGCACTCGGGTCGACCCATCGCTGCGTCTCGAGGCAAATCTTCAAGTGAACACATCAAGACATGATCGAATATGAGAGGCGCGTTTGTCGAAGCCGCTATACATACCATTTTATAGAGGTTTTTGGATGGCGGGCCACGGTCCCAGCTCGCGATGACTGCGAATCTGTAGTGCACTGGGCCGGCGCCGTATGTCCTTGCATGTCGGTGCTGCAGTGTCCTACCTCGCCATCGTCTGCTCCATGTACGAGCGTTGTGACCGACAGTATGCAACTTCAACTGTTGCAGTAGCGTGTCCAGTTCTTGGTGGTTGATGGCTGCATTGAGCGGACTCGTGAGAGCTACCCGCACCATGGACGCTGCAAAGCTTGCGGCCTACCGCTCGGCACCAAGGCGTCGTCACAGTCGTTTTATCTCGGTCAACTTGATCGTGCCTGGCTAAGATCTGATATGCGGCATTTTGATTGGTGGACACAGGTTTCAAGTACGTCGCTGATTGGCTCCTCAGAATCGTGCTGGATAAATTCGCTGCGTAGCTCTGCTAGCATGGATGCAAGAACGCAGAAGCGGCCCATTCAACTCGATTTATGAGCTTTGCGACGTGCTAGCTGGTCCCAGATGCTAGATCCAAAATACTAGTCTTGAACATCCTTGATAATACGAAACTCATAGCTGCGTATGACTCAATGCTCCCACGACAGAGGCCTCCTACATCGATCTGGGGCCGACCACACTCGGTCGAGGAATAGCTCAGTACGAGGCCGAGGGCGTCGCTCCACGTAGCAAGGACCACGCGCGATCTCCCATCGTATCCGAGCGGTCACTCTTCCAGCCATCGAGTCGCGCAGTCAAAATGAATTGGTCTGGCTTGTCCTACGTAGTCCCACGAGCAGTACATCAACTCAATTGAGTTTATGTACTCAATTGAGTTTATGTACTCTAGGCAGTCTTCCACCACCGAGTCCAATCCCAGCCGACGCTATCGCGCTTTCCTTGTCTCTACAAAAACTGACAAAATAGTGTGCACATTGCCAACGTTCGACTATTGCATGAGCTGCACAATAAAGTTGAGGAAGAGCCCGACGTACGACCCCGTAAAGAGCCCGGTGATGATGGCAAGCGAGCCCGTGATGCCGGCCAATTCTTGCTCGACGTCGCGGCACGTTGTTGGTGCGAGCATCATGGACGACGTGCCGACAAAGCCCGTGACAAGCCCGAGAAGCGCCACCAAGCCGTACGTCGCCACGTCGGGGAGCAAGTACGGGTGCAGCACGTCGTACATGAAGAGTGGCACAAAGCTCAGCTGCAGCAGGAGCGGGTAGTGCACAGTCTCGACCGAGAGCAGCATGCAGTGCAGTGGCAGCATCTTGCCAATCAGATCGCCCACCGTGTAGGCGCCGACCATGAGCACTGGAAACCACGACGAGGTCGACGCCACCGAGCTCGTGAGGCCTGGAAAGCACGCAAGGCAGACGCAAAACGTTGCGAACGCCATGCCCACGGGCCGCCACGCGCGACGCACAACCGAGAGGATCGAGGCTTCGTCCGACGGCGACTCTGGTTCGTCGTCGTCGATATTCACCGCAACGTCCTTGAGCATCGGTGTCGACTCGGTGGCCGCTGGGAAGAACGACTAGAAGAAGACGAGTGCTCCATCGTCGCAGCATATTGAGATCGTACCGGCGATTTGATGGGCGACCGGACAGGCGACGGCAGCGGCAGGGCCAGCGGCGTGTTGAACTGGATGCGCACGTACGTCTCGAGCTTGGTCTTGGCGTAGACGTTTTGGTCCAGCATGGCGTACCTAGGAGCCATTACATGAGCGGTGGGTTGAGCAAGCAAAGCCGCACATGAGAAATGCCACCACGATCGCAGCGACCGCGAGGCCAAAGAAGAGCGAAAGCGCCGTGAGGTCCGTCGCATCGGCGTCGAGACCCCACTTGGTTGCAATGCGCGCGAGGACGAGGACCATGGCGCCCGTGCCCTTCCCGGCGTCAATGGCCTGGAGGAACGCCGGGCCAAAGACGGCTGCGAGGCCGTAGCTCGACGACTGGATCAGCGCACTCGCCATGGATGCGATGATCAAGAGAAGAAGCGTCGCCGCGTACCGCAGTAGCTGGCTCAGCGACGTCCACTGCAGCAGCGGAAGGCCAGCGCACGAGAGGAGCATGCAAGTAAAGCCCGACCGCATGCGCCGGTCGAGTGGGAGCTGGCGGCCCGCGATGAGCATGAAGAGCGTGATCACGAGCAGCGCCGACATGTTGACGACAGGAAAGACGAAGCCGACCATGCCATCCGGGTACATGGCGATGAAGGTGTCGATGCTGAGGATGATGCACTGCCACGACGCGACGCAGGTCCCGCCAAAGACGAAGAAGGTGGCGTAGGCCATGGCATAGCCAGGCGTCGAAAAGGTCGCGGCCTCTTCGACCGGCCGCGGCTCGTTGTGCGGCGACGGGATTTGCAGCGGTGGCAGGGCAGCGCGGGCCATCGCTGTTCAATTGTCGAGTGATCGCTCCACTGCGCGATGTGGAGCCGTTACCGAGGTTCGTATTGGCCAGGTATTCCCTCGGTTGAAGAACATGACGGGTGCACGCCGGACGCCAGTCGCCATTTCTGAACCGATGCCGCAGTGATATCTGGCAAGGGTCAATAATCTGATTATTGACCCTTGTATCTGGTCCGTCGTCGGCGCTTGGCCCGAGTGTGATGAGCATGCTCATCACCATTCCGACACGACGTGAAGAAGCTTCTGAACTTCAAGTGCTCAAGAAAGAGACTGGAGAGTCGCGACTTCAAACCCGCTACAATTGGTATGGATCAAACAAGCGATGCGTCGTGGAAGGGCATTTTTAGTCGTCGGAATAGCTCAAGTAATTGCGCTCAAGTCTGCTCGTGACCAGTAGCTATGCCTCTGGCGTGCTAGTACATAACGTATCCTGGTTGGGTTTTGCCGAAGACCGATGATCGTCCGCCATCACACCTGGTTGTCAGTGGTCTACAGCATTCTTTCGATGGAATCGTTGTCACAATTGAAGTGTTGAAGCCCAAGGGCGACGACCACCGATGCCATGATGCAGTGAGCGGTGCGCCGCCAACGACGATGGCTGGTTGATGCTGGCCGGGGCAGAGAGTACGTGCAAGCACGAGCTGCAGTCAGGTACTACAATACTGGCCATGTACACGGCGAAGAGGAGGCTGTGAAATGGCCTCAACACCTACAGTGTACTACCCACCCATCCAACTGCATGCAGATGCGAACGCCAGCTCTTGCTGAACGACCGACCGATCGTCCTCTCTGCTTTGATGAATGGCTCACACATTCCATGTCAAAACAAGACTGGTGCTTCACATGGTGTGGTGGGCCGTGACGACGGTCGCCGACTGGTACGGCGTGCGTGAGCGGTCCCGCGACGAGAGCAGTGGGATCCGGTACTCGTCGTACACGCTTTGGTTGGGTTCGGCAACTGGTCGAACGATCGGTGATGGCGGCGCCTTGATGACGCGTGGGCGAGGCAACCCTCCGAGCGAGAGTGGTCGGTTCGCTGAGTAGCGCGGCGACGATTGCGCCACCAGCGGCAGGTGGGTTTTTCGGGGCGTGATGCACTTTTTGGCAACTGTCTCGGGCGCGGGCTTGCGTGGGCTCATCCGCGGCGGCGGGAGCTCGTCCAGCGGCAGCCGCGGCAAGTGGCCAAGACGGTGGACGAGGTGCACCAAGCGCGGCGTGGTGGCCCGCAGTTGGAGCAACTCGATGGCTTTGGAAAAGTGCCGGTCCTGCGCGTGGAGCTGGCGCGAGTGCTGGAAGAGGTGCACGCGGGGCGTCGAGCTAAGGTCCGCGCGGAGGTACTGGAACGACGAGACGAGCGATTGGCCGAGGACGTGGGGCAGCTCGGTCGGCTGTGTGACGCGCCCCATGGCCATTGCGAGCCGCTGGATGCAGCGCAAAAACTCGTGAAAATTGAGGTCCAGGGACTCGCGACTCTCCGTATGCGAGAAGCCCACGTCGAGTTTGGCGGCATTGTACTCTTGGACAACTTCCTACACCCGAGGTATAGTTCAATGGAGAAAGCATCATCATTGCTGCCGCACTTGAAGCGAAAGCGGACGGAACTGAGGCGGACCCGCTTTCGTGTGGTTGTCTTTGGTCGACCGCAAAATGTCTACTTTGCAGTATCAAGATATCAAGTATAAACCCCAAACATGCTACCAAAACAGCGCGCAAACAGCAAAAAGTTGGCCAATGAGAGTTGCGTGCCAGTTTCAATCTATCAAGACACAGCTCGAACCAATCAAAAGGCCGGTTGATGTACGTGGCTGAGCGAGTGGCCGCCAAAGTGCGCAAACAACTGCTTGAGCGGCCACACATGGGTGTGGATGAAAGCCATGACCTGGGGCTGCGAGATCTCGGGGCCCATGGGCTGGATCTCAATCTGCCGCGCACGAGGCAACACGTGATCCCGAAACAGCGCTTCGTGCACGTCCCCTTCCGGCATCTCCTACGTCCTACATCAGTACGAAAAGTCCTTCGAGCGGAGAGGAGCACAGAGAAGCCAAGGCACTTTTGAAGGACGAGCGTCGTGCCATGAACCCACTGCGCAAAGTTCATGCTGCCACCGCGGTGCGTCGGCGACGAGGCCGGTGGGAAGTTTTCGTCAACAACAAGCGGCTGGAAGCACGATGGCGTCGGCTGAAAGTGCAGGTGGATGCCCCGGGGTCCATACGTGGTGCGCGGGGACGCACGCGGTGACGCGGCCGTCGTCGACGCGCGCGTCGCCAAAACAAAACACGCATCAATGTCCGGGTCGCAGAGGTTGTTGCCGTCGGCGCAAGTTGTGAGCTGGCAGTCCTTGACAAAGCGCACAAAGTTGCTCCGGGAAATCGTTTGAAAGTTGGTGAGGCTCCCGAGGAGGCAGTAGGCTAGAAACACTTTGCGGTACGCGCGGTTGGTGAAGATCGGCCCGTCGCCATGCTACACAAAGACGTAGCGCAATTAGGTACAACTAAGAATTGAAACAGTGTGCACCGTGTCGTAGACGAGGTCGGGGACCATGAAGTGGCACAGTGCGGTGTATTCGGGCGACCGCTACACGCAGTCATTGTCTTGCACTAGACCAAAAGATGCACCTCGATGACAGCACCCGGGTACAAGAGGAAGCTCGGGTGGACGTCGACCATGCGACCGCTGCGCTCGAGCCCGCGACGAAACAATAGACTGTCTACTCAACGAGGAATCGGTGTCTCGACTCGACGAGGGTACGTGTCTACCTTCGGTGTGCAAGTGGTCAAAGAAGGCTTGGAAGTTGCGCAAGACTGTGGTTTCGCAGACGTACTGGGAGAGGATGGCAGCGTAAATTGTGGAGAAAATGTCATTCTGCACGGTGATAAGGCCTTTCTTCTGCCGGCCAATGTGCGCCTCCAAGACGCTGCACTCGACGTGCAAGGACGTCTTCAAGCCCGGTTTGGCGCGCTGCCGTTGCTGCAACGTCGCTTCCTACGTGCTTTGAATGCAGCGACACCGTTCCACATGACAAGGTGTCGTACTTGCTTGGCCTGAAGCTGGTACAAACGCAGCGTGTCGGCTGCGATCGACGCTTGCGTCGTCCGGTTCATGTCGTGGATCGCGCTGCGGAAGATGTCAAATGTGATCTTGCCGTCCGCAACACGCTTGGCCGCGGCGGCGACCGCGCCCTTGAGGATGTTGACGCCGGCGTCGCCCGTCTTCTCCAATGCGTCGAGTATCTCGTCCGCGACGAGCGACCCGTTGCCGTGGTAGTCGAGGACTGTAAAGTGCCGCTTCAGGTCCTCTTCGTCGGCAGCTTCTAGCGCCAGCTTCTTGGCCGCCTGAATCTAGCCCAACGACATCAGCACGACATGCTTGTCGACCGAGGCACTTGTACTTGCAGGTACTCGAGGCGAGAGAGCTGGAACGTGCCGTGGCCTTCCTGCAGTGCCAAGAGCGCGCCGAGTTCGTCCGGCGACAGCGACGGCATGTGCTTGGCGAGCAGCTTGGTCGCCTGAAGTTTATCCAAGGTATTCCGCTTCCGGCTGTCGAACGCGTCAAACTCGAGCTCCAAGAGCGACCGCTCGTCGCCGCTGAGGACGTCATCCAGCGCGATGCGCCCGACATTCGTGGTCCACGCGGTCATGGCGTTGGCAACGATAAAATTAGACAGGCAACGTCTATAATATCTAGTCTAGATGCGTCTTAGCCTTCCTTTTTGCGCTTGAGGTTGTTGCGGCTTTCCATGAGCGACGCGCCCGTGCCTTCGGACGCAAGCACGTCCGTGATAGCGTACGGGCAGTGCCCGCCGAGGACCGCGCTCTGGTCGAGGAGCTGGAACGAGAGCGAGAGGTGGCCTCGCACGAGCACATTGACGAGCGAGAGGAGCTCGGTGGCGACCGGCGTCAAGATATGAAACTCACCGGACGCCAAGTCGATGCTGCGAATGATGCCATGACCGACACACGGGAGAAGCGGGTAGTCGAGGAGGACGGTCGGCAAGTGCGTCTCCTTCGATTTCGGAAGAAGCGTCGGCGGCGCAACGCAGAGACCAATCACGCTTGCGTTCAGCGCGTAGAGGATCTGACTCGGCGGCGCCTAGTTACGATCTAAGATCGTATAGCAAGTTAAAACCGACGCACCGACGAGCCGGTCACGCGCACAGCAACCGCGTGAAAAGGCACTCGGTACGGCAGCTGGCGCGTGTACATCATCGAGATTGCACGGCCGAGACTAGTGACAGATGATGAACCACTCTGCCAGCAACACCACTAGTAGTCTACCGAGTTTGTTCCGACATGGCGTGACACGTTGCGAGCTGCAGCACCTCGGGCTCTTCGATGCGTACGTCGCGCAAAAAGTAGGCGTGCCATCGGTACTGCCGCAGGTCCTTGGAGCCGCGCGCCGGCTGCGGCGGGGCTGCATCCCACATCTCGACCGGATGCAGCGTCCACTACACTGCCCATGAGCTTGCCAAGCTGGCAAAGAGGACAATGTCGACCTTGGGCGACGGTGGCACGTCAAACGACTTGGCTTTTGTCATGGCGACGACCTGCAGGACGTGCTGCGGCGCCGCGCAGTCCAAGATCGAGTGCAGAAGGTCGTAGCCCATGCTCTTGATCCAGCCATCCGTGTTGAGGACGAGCGGAATCGTCGGGTCTTTGGCTTCGTATGCCTGCAGAAGCGACGCGATTGCTTGAATGTACTGCTGCGGGTCGGCTTTCGGACTCGAGTACCCAAAGTACAGAGACCTAGATGGCGTCAGCAGCCGCGTGTCTCTGCATGTACGCTACCGGTACGCTGGCTGAAGATGCGTGTAGCTCGGGCCCAAGAGCGGGTCGGTAATGTAGTGCAGCGAGAGGACACCAGGAGCGCACAGTTCGGGCTGGCCCACGTCCGAGTCGATGTAGGCGACCACGCGATGGCTCGACAGGAGCTGGTTGACTAGAAACTGCGTGCACGTCGACTTGCCGACGCCCTTGGCACCGCAGACAAGCACCTTGCGCGCCGCTACGTGCGTGCCAAAGCTCTCGCACACCCGGCGCGCGGCCGCGTGCCACGACGGCGGGAAGAAGAGCTCGCGCACTGCGTTGGGCTCGAGCGAGCTAATGGACGCGAAGAGCGCGGCGCCGTCCGTGATGGTCGGCGTCTCGGTCTTGGCCCGCTTCTTCGAGACCTTCTCGCGCGTCTCGGCCTCCGGGTAGCGGATGAACTTGAAGCCCGGCAGGCGAACATGCGCTGTCTGCCCGTCAAAGTACGATGCGAGGTTGCCGTATGTGAGGCGCATGGCGCGAAGCACGATGACGACCGGAAACCACGCGGCCATGTCCTTGGCGAGTGCGTCGGCCTGCGCTTCGTCCTCGTCGTGGAGCGGATCGGCCGCGTGCGTGAGGAGCCAGCGCGCCTTCGTCAGCGATGTGCACGGCGCTTGGTAGAGCGACGGCGAGTCCGATGCGACGATCGTGCTCAGGTTCGACCAGCGTGGCGAGTACAGGTCGAAGTAGACACCCGGCGGAAAGGCGAACCCGGACGAGTGCACTTGGCCTTGGAAGATGCGCAGATGGACCATGCCGGCGCCAACGAGCTTCTCGTTGGCGTCCATACCCATGACGACGAGGCGGCCAGAGGCGACAGCCGCGACCTTGTCGTCCGTGACGCAGTACGGCTCGCCGTACGAGGGTAGCGCGTCGGCCATCGCAGCAAAGATTGGATACGATGCACTTGATCGCTGGCAGCACACTATTCTTTGTGCGTTTCACTCTATTTCCAGTTAATAACACCATTTACTATTTGGTACCACCTCTGTCAATAGTGTATTTTTGGCATCTATCGTTAACGGTGGCGCCTGCCATAGTTAACAATAGATATAATACAAAATGCTCGGAGCGGCAAGTAGCCAGTCGACACCGCGCCTGTTGCACACGGCTGCGTCGATAGACAAGCAGAACATTACGCGTCGGGCCTAATCATGCTCTAGCGCAGCGCAGGAGGTCGTCGCAGGCGTGAGTACCGTGTGTGGTACCGGTACTAGTAACTGGGTTACCAACGTGGCCCATATTTGATGTTTGTATCGCGACGTCCGGATACGCGCCACGTAGAGGCCGCGGCTTCTCTCCCCGAGCCATTTTTTATTCATTTCTTAAAAACCCATACAAAGTGCAAGAGAGAGTCCGGGATGTTAAAAAATGTTGAACGCGTATCCGGATAGGTGTTGCCCCGCGGATGGCATTTGCTGACTGCGCCAAAGGGAAATACCCACTACGACCGGTACCTCGCCACCGTCGTCCAGCGTCGCCGTCCCCCGTAGCGCGCCGCCCATCCACTACTCGCGTATCCTCTTGCCTGCGGTCGATCGAAGAGCACCAGCATGTACTCGTCCTACTCGAAAGCGCCCAAGAAGGCGCACGAGGCCGGCCGCAACTCGGTCTTGACCGACCACGAAGCGCTGCACCGCGATGCGCGCGTGCACGAGTCGATCCAGTCGAACGAAAGCCGCCTCACGCCGTTGGATCTCGAGACGATCCTCTCTAACAAGGGCGTGGTCAAGTACTGGTACCTCCACCGCCCCAAGACGATGCAAATCGTCCACGAAAACGCCGTCAAGGTGCAGTCGGTGGGCCGCGCGTTCGCCGTGCGCTCGCTCATCAAAAAGGTAGTTGCATGCCTTAGCTGCATGGGCTTACGCCTTATGCGTGTAGTATGGCATCAACTACACGGTCGAGCTGGCCAAGCGCGACGCTGAGAAGAAAGAAGCGCTTCGACTCGCTGAAATGAGCGAGGAAGAGCGCCGCTTCCACGCCGAGGAGACCGCTGCGTTCGACGCGCGTGTCGAGGAGACGCGTCGCCTCAAGCGTGAGCAGACGGTCGCCGAAGAAGAAGAAGAGCGTCTTCGCCTCGAAGAGCTTGCCCGGCAAGATGCAGAGTACAGTTCCACGACGCACATCGGAATGGCAACTCATATGTCACTAGGCGTCGCGAACGTGAAGCCATGGCGGCTGCCGCGGCCTTGGCTGCGGACGAAGCCGCTCGCGCCGAAGCCGCGCGCCTCCTCGCCGAGAAGGAAGCCGCCGACAAGGTCGCGGCCGACCAGGCGGCGGCTGCTGCGGCGGCCGCTGCGCTTCTCGCTGCCGAAGAAGCCGCCGCCCGTGAAAAGTACGAAGCCGAAGTCGCCGCGGCCATCGCGGCGCAAGAAGCCGAAGAGAAGGCTGCCCTCGAACGCTACGAAGCGGAAGCCCGCGCGCAAGACGAAGCCGACGAAATGGCGGCTGAGCTCGCGCGCGAGGCCGAGCGTCGTGCGCTGGAGCAGCGCGAGGCCGAAGAGCGCGAACGTGCGCACGCGGCCATGCTCGCCGAGAAGGCTGCCCGCGAGGCCCATGCCATCCGCGACGCGGAGAAGCAGGCCAAGTACGAGCAATCGCTCTCGAAGGACGTGCCTGTCATCGTGACGGGCCAGGGCCGCGGCCGCGTCCTCTTCTATGACCGCGAAGCCGAGACGTACTCGGTCGCGATCGACCAGTTTGGCAACGACACGGAGGTCATGGAGGTCGACCCGAACCACGTCATCCTCGACGGCGAGCGCATCTTGTCGCCGCGGACGCTCGTCGATACGCCGTTTGGCGTTGGTGAGGTCGTTGGCATGGACCCGCACCTCGGCTGCTACGCCGTCGCAAACCTCCACGGCGGCCAGAGCGACGAGCCCAACTCGTACGCGCCGCAAGCGTACATCCAAATCGTCGACGTCGCTCGGCACAAGGAGCGGGCGAGCAGCGTCATCATCGAAGAGGGCCTCGTCATGCCCGAGGAGATTGGGCTGGCGTCGGCGCGCATTGTGGACTCGCGCATCGTGACCCGCGGCGGCCAGAAGTACGTGCAGTACAAGCTCGAGATCCAGACGACCAACTTTGGGACTGTCTACTGTTGGAAGCGCTACTCGACGTTCCGTGCGCTCTGCGACCGCCTCCAGAAGGAAGCCGGCTTTAAGAAGACGGAGATCCCGCAGCTGCCCAAGCGCCACATCCTCGGCAACCTCTCACAGAAGACCATTGGCGAGCGCGCCGACAAGCTCAACGAGTTTCTCGATGCGGCCGTGCGCGCCGAGCACCTCCAGTGGGGCATCAAGGTCGACGACACGATCGCCGTCTACAAGCGCCGCGTCAAGAAGCCGCGCGCGACGACCACCGCGAGCTCGCGCGGGGCGCCGCCGCCGTCGAGCCGCCGGCGATAAGCAGCCGGAGCCTGTATATACCCATGTCCTCCTCGCAGTCCCATGCCCTCCCCTAACTAATGTCTGGTGCGACAAAGTACATTCGTGTCAGTTGGGCGACGAGTCGTACACAGTCTCTATATGCAAGACAGACTCGCCGTGACACAGCACTGCCGAGGATCTGGCAGCCACGTCCGATCCGCAGCACTCTGGTCTCGTCGGGGACGGAGCGACCGGTGGCCGTGGCTACGCCCTTGGCGGTGGCTACGCCCACGTCGTCAGTCGTTGAGCAGCCTAGGTCCCAATGGCAGTCGCAATGGCACTCGGACCTCGCTGTCGGGAGGATCGGGTTCTTGTCGACGCCGCAGCATGTTTCTTGGCGGTTGACGGGCATTTATAGCGTCGAAACCGAACGCAAATCGATATCAACCACCGATGAACACGGTCGCGCCGGGGCCGGTGCTCGGGGCGTCGCCGCCACTGCGCGACAACCTCGTCGTCATCCACCGCGGGTCGACGTCGTCTCTCGGTGCGTGGGTGCACCACGCGTCGTTGCGCGCGATTCGAAAAACCAACGTACGTCGTCGTTCTCTTGTGGCGCTAAGACCTTAGTCTAGCCGGCGCCGATTTCGCTCGGCTGCCTCCGTTTGCACAACCCGCTGCGGCGGCTCTGCCTCGCGCTCGTCACGTCCAAGTGGTTTGAGCGCTTCATCATGGTGTGCGTGCTCGCCAACACGCTCCTCCTCGGGCTCGTCGACTACTCGAACGCCGTCGACGGCGTCCCAGACCCGACGAATCACCGCAACATGCTCATCGACACGGTCAACGCGGTCTCGCTCTACGTCTTCCTCGTCGAAGCAAGCCTCAAGATCATCGCCTATGGCTTTCTCATCGGCAAAGGCACGTACTTGAGCGACGGCTGGAACCAACTCGACTTTGTCATCATCATCTCGGGGTAGTCGATGCACATTTGCAGCGCTGACACTCTCCCATCTAGGACGTTCTCGCTCGTCTATTCGTCGGCCAGGCTCGGGATTCTCCGCGTGCTGCGAATACTTCGGCCGCTCCGCGCACTCCACTCGGTGCCGGGTATCGTACCACGTACCACCCCAGTAGGACCGCTGTAGACGATCTGTGCGTAGGGCTCAAAGTGCTCACCGGGTCGCTGTTATCGAGCTTGCCCGCGCTTGGAAACGTCGCCATCATCCTGGCCTTCTGCTACCTCTTCTTTGCGATCCTCGGCATGGAGCTCTGGCGCGGCTCGTGGCACTACCGATGTCGCCTCACGCCCTTTCCTGTCACGCTCAACGCGTCAGTGTGGAACGTCTCGGCCATGACGCCGACAACGAGCTACCTCGCGAGCGTCGTACGTTCGTCATTGTCAAGGACGACGTTGGCAGTTGACGCGTGCGCTAGGTGGCGACACCGGACGCCTTCCGATGCCTCTCGATCGAGAACAACGAGTCGTGGCCGTCGCCCATGAGCTGTTTCTGGCCCACCGACCCGGACGAAGATCGCAGCACGCCGTGGCTGTGCAGCTCGTCGTCTTCGGTAGAGCCAACGAGAGTGCGGATAACGTCAAGTGGTGCGTAGTGGGGGCGGCAGTGCGGCGCCAACCGAACGTGTGGCTCCAACTACGACCCGTTCGGCGCTCCGCGGTTTCTCGACCTGCACCTTCCAACGGCGCCCGACTACTCGCCCTTCTCGATCATGCGCCAGGCGGAATTTAGCCCGAACCTCAACTTTGGCTTTACGAGCTTTGACAACGTGTACAGCGTCTTTGTCATGATCATTATGATTGTCACGGCGTCCGGCTGGATGGTGCTCACCGAGACCGTACGGCCTCCTCGTCGCAACCTTTTTCCTTAGACAAAGAATGGCGTAGGCCCAAGACGCGGGCGGGTCGGTCGCGGGCTTTGTGTACTTCAACGCTATTTTCTTCGTCGCCGGCTGCTTCCTGCTGCAGCTCAACATGGCCGTCCTCTTTTCCGAGTTTGAAAAGGCCAAGGAGAACCATACGACCGCCATGGCTCAGTACGCACACGCGTTCGTTGCGTGGACTTAGATGGGGCTGTCGTAGCCAGCGGCGCGTCTCGCTCGCGAGCTACGCCGACAAGACGTTCAGTCGCAGCGTCCTCAAGCGGCCGTCGCTGCGCTTCTCATCGGGCCACCACCACCGGAAGCACCACAAGTGGCCAGCGATCGCCAAGCTGCGACAGCGCGCGGTATGCTTCAACATTGTCTTGCGCTCGCATGACCATCTCGGTGTAGCACCGGCTCATTCGCACGCCGCTTTTCGCGACGGTGAGCATGGGCATGACTGTCATCAACGTGATTGTGCTCACGACCGACCACCACCCGAGCTCGATCGAGTACCGCGAAGTGTGCGACATCCTCAACGGCGTCTTCCTCCTCTACTTTTTCCTCGAGCTCTGCCTCAAGATCACAGGCATGGGCGTATGGTCCTACTGGCAGTACGTCGACGCTCTCTTAGCCAAGGTTGGGGTTCATGTTGGACGGCTGTAGCGACAAGTTTAACCGGTTCGACTGCTTTACGGTTGTCATTGGCATCATTGAAATGGTGCTCAAGCCGCCCTACTATATCGATGGCACCGTCAGCGGCGCGTCGGGCTTCACCGCACTGCGCGCGTTCCGGGCCATCAAGATTGCGCGCGCGTGGAAGTCGTTGACGAAGCTGCTCGTGTCGATCATGGCTGCGATGGGCGAGATCCTCAACTTTCTCTTCTTCCTCATGCTCTTCCTCTACATATTCGCGCTGCTTGGCATGGAGGTGTTTGCGACCAAGTTTCAGTTTGACGCCAACAACTACCCGATGCCCTTCAACTCGACGTCGCCGTCGACGCACCTGCACCGGTCCAACTTTGACACGATTCTCTGGGCCTTCTTCACCGTCTTCCAAGTCATCACGTACGCTGATCCTAGTCGCTCTCTCTAGATAGCTCGGGCGTAGGTACGACGGGTACCCGAATGTCATTTGGGATGGCTGGATCAGCGTCGGGGCCATCGCGCCATTGTACTTTTCGGCGATCGTTGTCCTTGGGGTCTGGGTCGTCATGAACATGTTCTCGGCCATCCTCGTCGAGAGCGTCATGGTCGAGCCGCCAAAAGAAAGCGTACATACCGAGATGCGGAAGGGCGGTGTACTAGCGTATACGTAGATGACAACGACGTACAGCTCGGAGGACAACGATCTCCTTGGAAAAGACGACGACAACTCGGACGTCTCACTCATTGGCCCACCGGTGCCAACGCGGTTGACGCGGCACAGCCAGGCCACGCAGCTTCGGCGGGTGCGCTTGGCGCTGCGCCGGCTCTTCCAGATGCACGCGGCGACCGCGACGCGCGATCCCGAGATCGGTGTGCTGCACCTCTTGCACGAGAAGAGTCTCTGCCTCTTTGGGAGGCGGCATCCGGTGCGCCGCGTCTGCATCCAAGTGGTCGAGAGCCGTGCATTCACGGTGGGCATTTCGGTGCTGATCGGCTTTTCGTGCATCCTCACGGCCATCGACTCGCCGCTCCTCGACCCAAAGTCGGACGTCGGGCGGCTCATCAACACGTGCAACTACCTCTTTGCGATTCTCTTCTCGGCCGAGATGGTGCTGACTGTGATTGCAAAAGGGCTCGTCTTTGGCGACGACGCGTATCTCAAAGACGGATGGCGCATCCTCGACGCGTTCATCGTCGCCGTCTCGCTCATTCCGCTCATGATGCAAACGGCCTCGGCGGTCTCGAGCCTCCGGGCGCTGCGGTCGTTGCGCGCGCTCCGGCCGCTCCGCGTCATCAACAAGCTGCCGCAGCTCAAGGTCGTTGTCAATACGCTCTTCCGGTGCCTGCCCGACATGGGCCGCACGTTTCTTTTTGTGGGCTTTATGCTCTACATCTTTGGGGTTATGGCCACGATCCTCTTCAAGGGCGCGCTTCAGACGTGCTCGTCGTCGCCGTACAACTACGGCACGAGCCAGGGACCGCCGCTGTGGTTTCCCGCCAACTACTCGGGCGTGTACTCGGCCTCGGATATTGCGACGTACGACATCATGACGCATCCGCGCTTGGTAAGCGACATGTACCCAGTGTCGCAAGCGATCGCGCTGCCAGCGTACGCAGCCTGCAACCTCTCAACGTCGCTCCTACCAACGTCCAAGGAGGTGTGCCAATGCTTCAACGCGACGTGGTCCCTCGCGACGCCCCAGGGGTAGGGTCTCATGCGGCGTCTTCTCGTGCGACTGACGTTTGCGTAGCTTTGACAACATTATCTGGAGTGTCGGCGGCCTCTACGAGCTCACGACGCTCGAGGGCTGGATCCAAGTGGCACTGGCGAGCATTGACGCGGTCGGGCCCGACATGCAGCCGATCGTCAACCACCAGGTGTGGGTCATGGCGTTCTGGTGGGTCTTTATCATCGTGTGCTGCTTCTTCGTCACCAACCTCTTCATCGCGGTGCTCTGCGACGCCTTCATGCGTGAAAACTACGGCACGCTCATCACGGAGGAGCAAATGCAGTGGATCAAGCTCCAGCGCCAAGTGCTGGCGATGCGGCCGCACGTCATTCCACCCACCCCCCACGGCTCGTGGCGCCGGCTTTGCTACGACATTGTGCAGTACCCGTACTTTGAACACGTCATTACGATCTGCATTTTGCTCAACATGCTTGCGATGACGTCGCAAGCGTTTGGCCAATCGGCGACGACGCTCTTTGCCTTCTCGCTGCTCAACTACATCTTCTCGGCCATCTTTGGCCTCGAAGCCATCCTCAAGATCTTGGCGTTTGGCAAAGCGTACTTTACCGAGGGCTGGAATCGCTTTGACTTTGCGATCGTCGTCTTCACCGCCGTGAGTTTGATTCTCCCGCTCTTTACGAGCGTCGACCTCGGGACAGCGTCCACGGTCGTCCGCGTCTTCCGCGTCGGCCGCGCGCTCCGGCTCATCAAGAAGGCCAAGATCATCCGCAACCTCTTTGACACGCTCACGGTACTTCCCGGACCACTCGGATGATGGCACGCAATGTGTGTAGGTGTCGCTGCCCGCGGTCGGCAACGTCACGTCGCTGCTCTTGCTGCTCTACTACATTTATGCCGCCGTCGGAGTCCAGCTCTTTGCCAAAGTCGGGGTGCGTCGGCGCTGCTTGACGCGTATGGTCATCTTCCAACTCTGTAGTTTGATGGCAACATGATCAACCGGCACCAGAACTTTCAGTCGTTCTGGACCACGTTCCAGATGCTCATTGGGTTCTCAACGGGCGAAAGCTGGGACAATTTTACGTGGGAGATCTACAATATGAGCCCGACGACCAACCCGAGCTGCGTCGAGCGGCAGTTCAACGCGTCCATGTGCGGCTTCAACGACGCGCCGGGCTGTGCGCCCCTCGACGGCTGCGGCTCGTTTCTCATCGTGCCGTACATGTACTCGTTCTTCCTCGTCATTGGCTACGTCGGCCTCAACGTCTTCTCGGGTATCGTGATTGACGCGCTCGATGGCGGCGTCGACTCGCCCATCAACCACAACACGCTGGCCGAGTTTACCGACAAGTGGGCGACGCTCGATCCGCACGGGTCGGGGCTCATCACGACCACGCAGCTCGCGGACTTTCTCATGGCGACCAAGCCGCCCTTTGGCTTTCGCTATGTGCCGGGCATGAACCGCCGGCGCGTGCTCCAGGCCATCGGTAGCAATCTCGTATGATCTCTATTGGCCAACGGCGGATAGGGTTGCTGGACATTCACATTTACGACGGCCAATTTGTCCACTTTAAAGACGTCCCGCGTGCGCTCGTGCAGCGCATTCTGAGCGAAGTACATGGCGCTCGCTTGGTCGTCGTTACTATGCACGGTGTAGGGCGACCGGAAGAAGCTCTCGGAGATCCAGCAACTCATGCACACGATGGGCATCAACAAGCAGTTTGACGACATGTGGTTTAGCCGGCGCGGGAAAGCCGAAGTTGCGCGCTTCAAGTCTTTTACCGCAGTCTCGGCCAAGCGCCACGTGGCCTCGCTCGTGATTGCGCGCTTCATCTACCGGTACCGCCAAGCCCAGGCGCTCGAGCGGGCGCGGGCCGAGTTTGCCGACACACGGAGGTGCGTCACTCGACGGATTGCCCGCAGGACTCACGAATGGCTAGTTTTTGCACCGTGACCGTGCTGCAGCGAGGATCGTCTTCGAACCGCCCGACGATGACCAAGTGGGTGTCACCGGACGCCTAAGCGCGTCGCCTTGCTATTTATGATTTTCGAAAATCACTAACTTATGCTTCTTGTTGTGAAACGTCGTCTTGAACCGTTGTCGTGATGGGCTGGGAAGGGGCGACGGGCCACCTCTACGTGACGGGCGACCTCGTCGAGGACGGACCGAGCAGCGTCAAGCACCATATGCCCGTCCAAGGACGCAAGATCAAGGCTCTCCAAGGCGGCTACAATGCTTCGCTGGCGCTCGTCGACGGCTGGGAGCTCGCGTGGATGACGCCGCCCGTACGAACTTTGCAGTTGGCTGCGGTGGCACACACAAGTACCCTAGGTCTTTGAGCTCGCCAAGCCGCAGCACGACGTCAAGATTCACATGCTTGCCTTTGGCGCCAAGCACACGCTCGGGCTCAGCCTCGACGGCCACCTCTACGCGTGGGGCGTCGGCGAGAGCGGCCAGCTCGGCCTCGGCGGCGCCATCACGAGCACCAAGACACCCCGCAAGCTGCGCGAGCTTCCGGGCGTCGCCTTCACCTCGGCACGCCGTTTGATGCAAGAGGAGGCTTCACGGAGAATATCGTAGGTGGCCTGCGGCGGGTTTCACTCGGCGGCCGTGACGTCGACGGGCGCGCTCTACACGTGGGGCCGCAACCTCGAGGGGCAGCTCGGCCACGCGTCGTCGCTGCTCTCAACGAGCGAGAATGAAACTCAGAACGGCGTCTTCTTCCACCCCAAGCACGTTGACGCGTTCCTCAAGAAGCGCTGCAAGCAGATAGCGTGCGGCGACAAGTTGTCCGTCATCCTCACGGACGCCGGCGATGTCTATGCGTGCGGCGAAGGCCAAGTGGGCCAGCTCGGGCAAGGTACTCGTCGTCACTTGAACGGTAGCGGGACTCACTGGAGGCGAAGGTCGGTGCACCAAGCAATTTCTACCCCTCCTCACGCTCCTCGGCGAAAAGACCGACCCGTTCGTCCAGGTGGCGTGCGGCTGGGCCCACGCGCTCGCGCTCACGTCGTCTGGTCGGCTCTTTGCGTGGGGCTTCAACCAATACGGGCAGCTTGGCCTCGACGATACCAAGTCACGCTTCGTCCCCGAAGAGCTCCCCGGTCTCCTCTTCAAGCACGTGTATGCCGGCGGCAACTACGCCGCCGGTATTTCGTGTACGACGACCTATGTGCGTGATGCTTGCCTAAGATGAAGGATCGTAGCGGCCGGTCGGCTGTATACTTGGGGAAATGGTCGGCACGGGAAGCTCGGTCACGGCCACGACGACAACGTCTGTCGCCCACTCGTCGTCGACGCCGTCCAAGACACGTACGTGCAGGCGGTCGCGTGCGCGGCCCGTCACATGATCTTCTTTGCGCCGTCGTGGGTACGTCGTGCTCCCAATGGTCTTTTTCAAGCTAGCAAATGGCGCGTAGGTCGAGCACATTCAACCCACTTGCGGCGCCATGTCGGGCGGCACGCAGCTGCGCATCTTTGGCTCCGGGTTTTGGGCGACCGACGACTTGACGGTGCGCTTTGTGCCGCTTACGGACGGGCGACTGGCGCGCGCCGCGCTCGCCGCGTACGATCCTGTCACTGGCACCGTACGTGCTCTTGTCGCGATACGAAAGGGCGGGAGCATTAAGGATAGATTGCGTGCGAGGTGCCTCGGTTCGGCGTCCCCGGCGACTTTGCCGTTGAAGTGGCCATGAATGGCAAGCACTTTACGTCCAACGGCGTTCTCTTTGAAGTGTTTGCCCCGCCGACCGTCACCTTTGTCTCGCACAAGGAACTGCCGCTCGTCAACGAGACGAATGCTGTCGTGCGTATGCATTTGCGCGGTGAGCGACCCAAAGCTGCCGACGTCCCAGTCGTTCGATGGGTCCCGCTCGACGGTCGCTTGGCTCCGGTGCTCGTCGAGGGCGTCTGTGGCGAGTAGCCATCTTCTAGTGCGTGGGGAAGAAGCTGTTGACGCGCTGGTGTGTAGGATTCCCAAGGCCGACAGCGGCTCGGACGACGGCGACGACGCGCTTGCAACCAACGCCGAGGACGACGAGGACGACGAGCACGACAATGTGTTTCAGCTCGCGTTTCCGGCGCCGTCGTTCGAGATGAACCGTTGCTTTTGTTTGTTGTCGACAGGGACACGGTGCTAATTGGACGAGCACGTAGAGTCCGAGCTCGTTGCGTGCACGCTCGATGTGTCGTTCAACGGCGTCGACTTTAACGCGGTGCGCATCCACGACCCGTTCCACAGTGGGCTCCCGGATCCTGAAGTCGTCTACTTTCACGAGGTCCACCAATGGCCCATGACATGTTTCTGTCAGTGACACCATGCTCTTCTAGGCCGCGATCACCCGCGTCGTCCCCAACGGCGTTGCGCTGCCCGGCGACAATATGGCGATTGAGATTCGCATTCAACAAATGTTCGATATCGGCCAGCTCAAGTGCCGCATCCGGTGCGCCGAGCCCGAGACACTGTGCGAATGTGACTATTTCACGGCCAATCATGTTTTTTCGGGGTTAGGGATGCACCCTACCGTATTGCGTCGACAAATCTCGCGGTCGTCTCGTTTAGCGTCGACGACCAAGTGGTCCACTGTTCGATCCCACCGTTTGCCGACTGGCGCGTCGACACGATCACGCCGCTCCGAGACGATCCCGACTCGGACGACGATGTGCGTTTTGGATTTAAAAAAGGTTAGGCAGGACGGATGTTGCATTAGACCAAGAGTAAGCCTACGACGCCGCCCGGCGCGTGGTTCCAGCCGGACGCCCAGTGGTTTACAACGACCGTACAAGTGTCGCTCAACGGCGGCGCGACGTATTTGGCGCCCATCTCACCGGGCGTTGCCGACGTCGTCGCGTACACACCCGGTACGCTCGAGGCAATCACGCCGACCTCCGGGCCGCTCAGCGGCGGCACGCTTGTGTCGCTCCGGTCCAACTACTTTCAGTACGACACGAATGACGCGATGGTGTCGATCGAGTACAACGGGGACATCCAGTTCGTACCTGGCTTTGTCAAGACGCTTCCCGAGGTCTGAGTCTTTGTGGTGGCGTCAAATAGGTCGCGACGCATTCGTGCCTTCGTAGGCCACGGAGCGAGCGCTGACGTTTGAGATGCCGACGTTTTTCGTGCCGCCCCCGCCCCCCATGGAGAGTCCGCGCCCGGGGGGTGGCATCGTGTACCCCCCCGCCCCCGTGCTCCCCAACGCGATCGTCAAGGTCGCACTCAACGGCTCGACGTACGCCCACGAGTCGTCGGTTCCGTTCGAGTTTTACTGTATCTTGACTCTACACGTTAGCCAGCTTCAAGTTGTCTCATTTGTGTAGACAACCCCAAGGTCGTCACGGTCGAGCCGAGCACCGTATCGCCCGGCGTGACGCTTCAACTGACGGGCGAGCTCTTCCGGACGGGTCCGCTCGCCAAGTACAAGCTCACGAACGCCGACGGCACGTTCTCCGCGGTGCGGTCGTCATCCCAATGCTTTCTCACACGACGTTTGGCCAGGACGTGCAAGCGAATTTGGTCGATGAAAAGGGAGTCAAGTTGTACAAAGTTGAGATTCCGGCCTTGGGCAAGGCCGCCGAAGGCGATCTTTGGTTTCACGCTGCACTCAACGGCGTTCAGTACAGCACCAGCGATACTGCCAAGGTCCTGTACGTCGATCAACCCGAATCGTCGACCAAGGACGACAAACGCAAACATTGAGGAATCATCAACTTCATATTGTCTTTTACTATCAACTTGAAACAAAACAATTTGCTTGTGACTGGACATCAACACGGCCGACCGCCAACACCACCTGCCACATTTAGACAGTCGACTGGGCCGGGAGCTTGCCGGCGGCTTGGAGGTCCTTGACGACGTCGCTGATCTTGACGCCGCCGTTGAGGCAGCCACCGCAGTTGTGGAGCGCGATGACCGCATGGTCGTTGGGACTGATGACCGGCGAGCCCGACGACCCGCCCTCCGTGTCGACCATGTAGCCGACTTCGTTGGCAACGCAGCTGTTGATGTTGAGCGACTCAATCGTGCCCTGGGCGCCGTTGTCGAGGAGGTACCCAATACGGCGCGGCTTGCCCGCGGGATGCTGCGGGATGTAGATCTGTTCACCGAGCTTGGGGCCCGACGCGCGCGCCTTGAGGAAGCCGTACTTGGCCAAGCTCACGCCCGACTTGAGGTTGAGCTTGACGAGCGTGTAGTCGAGGTTCTTGTTGGTGCGGATGAACGTCGCGCTCGTGGCCACGATGGTGCCGCGGCAAGCGAGCTGCTGCGTGTTGTTCGGGTCCGCGCACGTCGCGCACTCGGCGCCAAACTCAAACTGAATGTCCTTGGCCGCGTTGGCGTCGCCGATGCAGTGGTTGTTGGTGATCAAGTGGCCCTCCGAGCCAAAGAGCCACCCGGTGCAGAGCGACGTGCCGCCAATGAGGAGCCGGCCCACGGCCTGCGCCTTGGTGTACTGCGTCGGGAGCGAGCTCTTGACGCACACCGCAGCCTTGGTGTCGTCCGTGCCGCAAATGGCCTCGGTCGGGCGCGGCGGCACACCGTACGCGAGACTATCGATGCGGAAGGCGTCGACGCCGTCGAGGAGCGCAATGTCTTCGCGCGGCGGCGTGTACGAGAGCACGACCGAGCCGCCGGGGATGTACTCGGCGTAAAAGTTGTCGCGGTCGCCGCCCGTGTACTTGACCGACGTCGATCCGTCGGGCGACGAGAGCGTGAGGACAGCGCCGTTGGGCAAGTTGAGCGAGTCAAAGTGCAGCGAGACGTACGAGGCGGCGTCGCGCGAAATGACGGTGCGCAGCGGCACCGACCCGTTCGACGCCAGCGTGTACGGCGCCGTGCGACCGATCTCGTCGGCGCCCTGGAAGCACGTCTGGCCGGCCACGAGCGACGCCGCGAGGCCAACGAGCGCAGTGAGCTTGGCGAAGGAAATCATCGTGGGATGC